ACCAAACACTGTGGCACGAAGTTCAGCCATCTACCTTTCTTGCCACCCCTTGTCCTCTATATTCCGTCAATCACTACACCACGTCACTTTATCTCCTGGGTAGTTCTCTATGTCCCCTCCTCTCTCTATCCTATCTTCATCCAGGATGCAGCCTTCATCATCCCTTGCCAGTGCTACTGGAACCTTCTCCCAGTTCCTGTCTCTGATTTAAGACTTGTCTCACTTCTGATCTGTACACCACAGGCACAACGATCAATCTGAAAATCAATTCTGATCATATCACCTGCTGACAGCATCCCATTAACTACAGGAAAAGGGCCACTCTTTAGAACGACTTCCAGAGCCTGGTGACCCCATATTCCTCCCCAGGGTGCTGTGTGCAGCGCTCCTCCCTGGAACATTGGCAGAGTCCTTTCTGATGCTCGCTGTGCAATTCCAAGTCTGCAGCTCTGCCCTCCTGTGATTCCTGCATCTAAAATACCCTCAACTCCGTGTCGCCTCTGGTTAGCCATTAATCAGTCTTGAAGGTTCTGTTGAAGATGCTACTTTACAGGAATCTTTTGCAACCTCACACCCTGTCCTGGTCCTTCAAACTGGAGGAACCTCCTACCTTCTTACTCTCATAGGACACTATGAGTCATTCCACCAGGAACTCCTCACCCTCCATTGACACTTATTTTCATGTCTTTCTTCTTATTGTCAGGGACCTGTCCCCAGATGCAGAAAGGTCACCAGCACTCACAACACATGTAGACCCAACCTCCTGATCTGGAGCTCTCTTCTTCCAAGTGCTGCAATCAGTCTTCCATTTATCCAGTCGTTCAATAACCATTTACTGATGGATTCCATAGCTACGTCCCACCTGAAATCAGATATCCTGATTTTCCACATAGCTGTGGGCATTTCCCACTCTTTCCTTCCCATTCCGGAGCATACAAAGAACATTTGCTAACTGTCTTCAGATTGTGATTCCTGTTGAGATGACTCACTTGAATCACTTTTCTGTGCCTCCTGTCACAGTACTGACTGATGACATCCCTCTTTTTATGGTAGACTGGCATAGCGGAGTAGCTATTGCTCAGTCGTCGCTGGCTTCCATCTGCAGGGAATGCAGATCTCAACAGTAGCTGTCAGAGTTAAATGCATGTTGATAAATAATATTAGCCAAGTAAGAACAGGTTATTATTTTGCAGCAGGTCTTTGAAACCACTCAGCCTGAGCCTGTCTTTCCTACTTCAGAAGTCTTCCCGCCCACTGGCTTTAGCTGCTAATGGGCACCAATTTGTTCTTCAAGTTCACATAGGGTCAAGTTTAAAGAGCTTTGATGTTAACCCTACCATTTCCAGAGAAAATCTCAAAAATAAATCAGGAAACTTAGAGGACAGGAAGTTGTCAGTCTATGGGAAGCAAAAGCAGACTGGCCACCTACTCCAAAGGCCCTGGGCTTGAGCTGGAAAATAACAAGAAACAGGGCCGTCCCCAGCCTCTCGCAGTGATAATGAACATTTGAAAGTGAGTGAAGGTGAGAGAAATCCAGAAAGGGCTTGGCCCCGGAAAATTAGGAGACAAAAGCAAACGTTTCATTATCACCTTCCTACAGTATATCCACTTCTCAAGCAAAGAGTACAATTTATGCCATCTACATCATGAAGGCGACTTTAAAATAAGGTGGCGAGCTGGGGAGATGGCTCAGAGGGTAAACATGCTTAACCACGTAAGCCTGAAGACCTGAATTTGATCCTCTGAATCTATGTAAAAAGCCAGGTGCGGTGGCACCTGTCTGTAATCCCAGCACTCTTCAGGGAGATGAGGTCAGAGGGGAGAATCACTAGGAAGCTTGAATACGCAGTTCAGTAGCGGAAACAAGAGAGACCGTGCCTCAGAAAGAAGGAAGGAGAGAAGAGGCCCAACAAGTTGACCTCTGAGCTCCATACACACACCGTGGTACACATGCACCTGCCCCTCCCCACATACACACACACACACGTTAAGTAAATAAATAAATCTTAAAAATAATAACAACAAACTAATCATTAACTTTGTACACTGACTACTAGATCAATACCCCAAAACCTTTGAAAACAGATTTAAACATACAAAATTTTACAAGGAATCCAAATATTTTAGGATCCATCCCAGAAACAACACAAACAAGGGGCATTGCTCCTCACCAGCAAAGTTGAGCAGTGGGTTCCACTGTTTATTTCCCAGGGATCATTAGTGATGAAAGACAAATCTCCTTTAAAATATTTGCACTAATTCTTTGAGAATTCTATGCAATGTATTTTGGTCATAGTCACCCTATTCATTCCCCTTAAGTCTTCCCAGATCCATCCCCACCTCTCTACCCCCCAATTTCATGCCTCCCCCTTTTTTAAATTTAATAATTCATCAACTCAGTTTATGATGTCCATATACTTCTGAAGTGTGATCGACCTACCAGGGTCACACCGTCAAGGAAAACTGACTCTCCCTCCCCCAGAAGCCATCGACTGTCTCCATAGCTCCTCAGCTAGGGTTGGGGGCTCATGAACCCTTCCCACTCCATGCTGGAAGAGTAACTGGCTTGATTTTGTGCAGGTTTTATGCAAACAACCACAGCTGCTGTGAGTTCAGAAGTATAACTATCCTGCAATGTCTAGAAGATTCTATTTTGCTCCAGTAGTCCATGAACTCTGGCTATTACAGTCTTTCCACCCCTCATCTGAGCTGGTCCCTGAGCCTTGGGGATGGGTGTGATACAGATGTCCCATTTGTGGCTGAACACTTCACAATCACTTATTCTCTGTACTTTGATCAGCTGTTCAGTGCTGTGTTAACCACCATCCACTTCATAAAGAAAGTTCTCCGATGAGGTTTACAAGCTGCACTAATCTGTGGGAGAGAGCTGTGAATTTGGAGGGTAGTTTGTTATTATCTCCATTTAGCAGAATAAGAGTATTCGGTTCACCTCCTGGGGACTGTGAGCTCCCCAACCATGACTCCTTAACCAGATTCGCCAGGCATATGATTCCTCCTGTGGAACAGGCCTTAAATCCAAGCAGAAATCAGCTGGTTACCCCGTTACATTTGTGGCACTATCGCCAGGTTAGTCATTATCGTAGCCCAGCTGGGTAAGGCTGTTGGTGACTTTTCCCCCAGAAGCCTGCACAGCACCTTCCAGTGCTGTGAGGGTTAGTCAGCAGGGAGGAGGCTTCCTGGTCAATACCGACTTGATTTCTCCATTGTCCTGTGACCAAAGTGTGTGGTATCTTCAGCAATAGGGTCTTACCATCAAGTTCTTCTGGGCAACCAAGAGCAATGGCAATAGCCTGTATTGTTTGGGGGGTCTCTGTGACACCCCTGACCAGCAGCTCAAGGAGAGGTATCCCACACCTGCAGTGGGCTTTTTATTTGGTGACCTGTGACTTCTGGGAGGAATATTAGCCTCTGTGTAGAGTAACTCCAATTAAACTCATTTATATGAGTCTATGTGTGTATGAAACTTATAACTAATAGGTTTCCATATGACTTTTTCCAGCATCCTTGGAGTTAGTTACTGCATCCCAAAAAAAATCTTAGGGGAAAATCTGAGGTCGTTCTTCTACATATTCGCTTTTGGTTTAAGGCTAAAGAAAAAAAAATGAGTTGAACTTTATCTTCATTTTTAGCATTCTGTTCTTCCTTCTGTTCCCAGACACAATGGGCCGTGATCTTCCCAGCTCCACGGCCCCAGTCCAAAGTTCCCTTGTCTCCTCCCTTGAGAAGATAGCTGAGGCAGTAAAGTACTTGTCTTGAAAGTTTGAGGGCCTGAGTTTGATCCTCAGCACTCATGTATAAAAATCTGGAAGTGGGGGTGCATGTCGGTAGTCCCTGTGCTGGGGGGGTAAGATGGCTCTCTCATGGGCTCCAGGCTAAGGAGAGACAAGGTGAGAAGTGTTGGGAAAGACACTCAATGTTGAGCTCTGCGGAAACATCAGGGTTTGAACTTGGGAGATGATTCAGCTCCAACCTGCCTGTCCTTCCCTGTGCTGCTCCCAAACAAGAAACCGAAGACCCAATAAACCTGCCCAGATCCATGGAGCCTGGCCCCAATTGACTGACAGGTTTCTATTGCACATGAGTGTTTTAGAATGTCTAAAAAGAAAAAGGAAGATGACCCAGTAACCTGGCACATCTTCACATGGCTTTAAAAGCTCAAGCCAGCAAAGCCCAAGTTCCGGGCAGAGGAGCTCCGTCCATCCCTACCGAGGGAGGAGGGTTACACCGGTAGATCCCTGGTGTATCTTGCAATTTCTTTGCATCAATGTCCAAGTAGATTCAGAAATTATACGCCAATGATTATCAACTTCATTAATGACAAAGTCAACAAACCCAAGGCATTGTTTACAGGGTTGAAGGAACACTGTCCTTCTCTAGAATGGACAGAGGAAATTAACTTATAGTGAGAAATGAGTTCCCAAAGCAAAGAATTAGGAATCATGGGGCTGGAGAGATGGCCCAGAGTTAAGAGCACCGGCTGCTCTTACACAAAACCCAACTTTGGTTCCCAGCACCCACAGATCCAACTGTATGTAACTCTGTTTCCAGGGGATCGACACCCTCTTCTGTTGCTCAGGGTTGCTCCATGCCTGTCTCTGTGCTTGTGAGGGTACATGCTTACATGTGTAGATGTGTGTGTATGGTTGTGTGTGTACATGCTTGTGTGCATAAATGTGACTATGCACATGTTTGTGCGCATTTGTAGATGTGTATGGCAATGTGTGTGCATGGTTGTGTGTGATGTGTGTGTATAGATATATATGAGTGTAGATGTGTGTACATGCTGTGTGTAGATGTGTGTGATGTGTGTGGATGCATGTTGGCAACCAGGGGTTATGCAAAGACCCAGCTTCCCCCAGGGACATTCCCAGGGCTCCTGAGGATCCTGAGCCCTAGGAGGGCTGAGCAGGAAGCCATCCGCCCTCTAGGGGCAGCAGATTACCTGTGAGCCTCATTAAGACTATTGTTTTCAACCTCAGAAACATCTACCAAAAAATCAGGGACCACGACCTCCTAGACAAGAGGAAAACGGTGACGGCGCTGAAGGCTGGGGAGGACCGGGCCATTCTCCTGGGACTGGCCATGATGGCCTGCTCCATCATGATGTACTTCCTGCTGGGGATCACGCTACTGCGTTCCTACATGCAGAGGTAAGGCTGGGCCTGGACAGCTCCCCTCAGCTCTCTTCCCCTCCCCTCCTCCCCTCCGTTCTCCTCCCCTCCCCTCTTAAGACTATTGTTTTCAACCTCAGAAACATCTACCAAAAAATCAGGGACCACGACCTCCTAGACAAGAGGAAAACGGTGACGGCGCTGAAGGCTGGGGAGGACCGGGCCATTCTCCTGGGACTGGCCATGATGGCCTGCTCCATCATGATGTACTTCCTGCTGGGGATCACGCTACTGCGTTCCTACATGCAGAGGTAAGGCTGGGCCTGGACAGCTCCCCTCAGCTCTCTTCCTCTGCTCTCCTCCCCTCCGCTCTCCTCCCCTCCCCTCCTCCCCTCTGCTCTCCTCCCCTCCTCTCTCCCCTTCCCTCCTCCCCTCTGCTCTCCTCCCCATCATCCATTCATCCCCAGTGTCATCTTCCTCATCTACTTTCCTAACAGCTTTCATAGGTGACAGATACAGTGTTTCCCAGTGGTGCTGGTTGGTACTAATGATAAGCAGAGCTCTGTATGTGAACTGCTTGCCATGCGCCTGAGCCCCACATACAGCACTTCTCTCTCACAGCTACTCCACAGGTGAGTGACTCATAATGTGGAGACACTGGATGCAGCACATGAGCTGGGGAGACGGCCCTCGACAGCGTGCTTGCCACACAAGCATGACGTCCTGAGCTGGATCCCTACAACCCACATGAAACCCCAGGCACAGTGCTTTGCACTTGCAGTCCCAGCCCCGAGGAGGTGGAGACGGGCAGATTCCCAGAGCTCACCGGCCAGCCAGTCTAGCAACTTGGGGTGTCCAGGCCGAGGCAGACCCTGACTGAAAAGCAAGAAGGTGCACAGTGTTCCCGGGAAAAACATCTGAAATTATCTTCTGGTCACACACACACACACACACACACACACACACACACCATACAGCACATACACAACATACGATACATACGACACATGCTACACAAACACATAGTATACACACATAACACACAGTACATATACAACATGAAATACATACAACACACTACACAACATGACACATACAACACACAACACATACACAACATACAATTCATCCAACACATACACACACCACACACAACACATAGCACATACACAACATACAGTACATATAACACATACACATGCCACATACACACAATACATGCCACACAGCACAAATTACACATCATATATACACACATACACACAGACAACACACATCAACACATGCCACACACTACATATACACACACCACATACACACCATATGCAGACACATACCACACACACACACTGGACATGCACATCACACAGATACCACATACCACATATACAACACACACACAACACACATCATATACACAAAACACACAATACATAATTCATACACACAACACACACATACATACCACACATATACATACACATTTTTGCAAGTGCATCCACATGTGCCATCACACATGAACATGCACACATGCAAATGTACTCACATATTCATACACACATGAACATTCACATTTTCAAGTGCATACACACATGAATGTGCATGTACATATTCAAGTGCATGCACATGCAAGTGCACTCACATGTGCAGACACATACACGTGCATGCATGCATGCACACACACATGAACACACATGCACATATTCATGTACACACCGGAACACACATGCACATATTTATGCACACACACAGGAACACGCACACACAGGATGTGGCAGAGCAAAGATTCAACGCCGCATCCCACAAATCCCAGGGCCTAGAAGCCTGCAGTTCCGCAGCTGGTCACCTGCCCCACAGTAGTTCTCCATCACACATCAAGTCATTCCCAACTACCCGTTACAGCTTGTCTGAAACTTCCAAAGATCCAGGCCACACACCGCCTCCTGAAGTCAGATTCAACTGGACTGAAGCCAGACCCTGTCATTAGTATGTTCTGAAACCTTCTAGGTGGTCCTAATGTGCTGCAGAGCCTAAGGCCATTAGAGAGCAAGCTCTCAGGTAGCGGATGTTGGGTCCTTTCCGTGGTTCACGTTGACCTTTGGTAACTGAATAGAGAAGTAGGCAGCTGTGAGTGTTTCAAGCACCACCACCACCACCCCACCCCCACCCCCGCCCCAGACACCTGATAGACCCCACAGCGGCCCCTCATCGCTGTCATAAGCAGCAGAGCAGCCGGCATTGCTGGGCTGATGGAGGGTTCTGCCTTGGCTGGGCTCAAGGAAACATGACCCTTTCAGTGAAAGTGTGTGGTTTCAAGTCCGAAAGAAAATCAAACCGTTTTGTGGCGATCATTCCTCCAGCTAAATGAATGCTTTCATTTCAGAAGCCAAGCCTGGCGGAAATACAGTCTTTTGCTTCCCTTTCACATCGGGGCTAGTCTGCTGTGTCTCTGACACGGTCAGCTGTGCTCGCCTCCTCAATGGAAGCGCTGATGCCTGTCCCCACGTTTGCTGATTCCAAACCCTCTTTCAGATCCTCACATCTGCTTAGAACCATCTAAGTCTTTTTTTTTTTTTTCCTCATTGTTAAAGCAAATTCTGACCATCCATGTTCCAGGAAAATAAAATTTTCTTCATGAGAGGAGATTGGGTCTCATTGCCTGCATCTGGCATAAGACTGCACAAAACGGACAGCCCAGGGGCTGCTCCTGCATACCCAGCCAAAAGCACGGTCACGACCCTCATGAACACATGCACTCACCAGCTTATATCCAGAAGGAAAACCTGGGTGGCCAGTGTGTAACTTCCTAATTACAAATGCTCACTTTGACCACAAAATGGAAGGCACTTTAAAGTGACAGTTGACCAGTGGGTAGCTGGGATTGCAAAGCAGACAGGACCAGGCATCCCAGCTGACCCTTTAGTCTGCACAGAAGGGTTTGTTTTCTGTTGACTTCCTGGGGATGCGGTTCAGCACAACAGAACAAGCTGTAAAGACATAGCAGATTAGGCCAAGTCGGTTTCTATCAGTTCAAAGTCTTGAAGCCCTGACTAGGTGACCTGATTTCTGTGACCCTCAATTCAGTCATCTTTGAAAGGGATTGACACCCAACCTACAAGGTTGTTGAGGGGACAGAGGAGCTAGTTTACATAAAGCACTAACAAGAGAGAAAGGGAGTAATAAGCAACGGTTCTTGGCATCCTCAACGGGCTGCGTTATCTTCTTTCCCTCATTAGACTGACCTTATGATGCTGTATCTCGCCTCTAACTTGAGTCCAACCCACACTGCTTCTGCCTCTTTACCACCATCCTTCATATTCCTCACACCTTCTCTGCAAACAAACTGGGCCAGGTGGGGTTGGGAAGAAAGGACCAAGGCCCAGCAAGAGGCTGTGCAAGGCAGAAATACAGGGAGAGCCCAGGGTACACCTGTCACCCCAGCCCCCAGGAGGCTGAGACAAGAGGGTTGCAACTTTGATGCTAACCTGAGCTCAACAGCAAGTGTGAGGCCAGTCTGAGATGCCTATCAAGGACCTGTCTCAAAATCCAAAACATAAAAATATAGCATGTGTCAGGCATGGTGGTGCACTCCTTTAGTCCCAGCACTCAGGGGGCAGAGGCAGGCAGATCTCTGTGAGATCAAAGCCAGCCTGATCCACATAGTGAGTGCCAGGCTAGCTGTGGCTACAGGGAGATCCTGTCTCAAAAAGACCAAAAAAATAAATAATAAAAATAAAGCATGTATTCGGTTTATCAGCAAATTCAGTAAAGACAAAACAATAAGTGGACGTCACTGAGAAAGTGCTGTGCGGTAACATGCTTAAAGCTGGTGTGTGCGAAGTCATGAGCTTTACACAGACATGTGCATCATGGACTTGGGGGAGGCCCCTGCAGTTCTGCAGCTGATCCCTGGTCCTCTATGATCACCCCCCTTCCCGAAGCTCCGGGCCCTGTGTTCATTCTGGCCCCTTGCCTGCAGTGTGTGGACGGAAGAGGCTCAGTGCACCTTGCTGAACGTGTCCATCACAGAGACGTTCAACTGCTCCTTCAGCTGTGGTCCAGACTGCTGGAAGCTGTCTCAGTACCCCTGCCTCCAGGTCTACGTGAACCTGACTTCTTCCGGAGACAGGCTCCTGCTCTACCACACCGAGGAGACCATGAAAACCAACCCAAAGGTAGGAGCTCAGCTCGCTGTGTCCCAGGCCCAGGCCATACTCCCGCTGTCTATCTCTGTCCTAAGTCCCAGGCCCGTGAGTCTCCTGCCTATCTTGACTTCCCCTCCGCAGGCATTTCAGAGGAACTGCACCAGGAGGCAGGTCCTGCTCCACTACAGAACTCAGTCCTGGAATCTATCCTGGAAGCACTTGTGTCCTGCACAAGCTGGACAAGCTGTTCCCTGTGTCCTGGTAGAGCAGGTCTAGCTTTGACCCTGTGTAGAAGGGCATTTCTACACAAGGAGGCTGAGGCTTTGAAAGCAAGTACAAAACCCAGTAAGAGATCTGCATGTGCCTGTCCTGTGCTCGGGGTCACAGCAAAAACCTGGATTCTGCTTTTCCATGGCCTCGTCACTTCATTCTGTGTCCCGGGCAGATAGCTTAACCTCCCTGGCCCTCAGCTCCTCTTCTCCCAAAGAAAACGCACAGTCTCTGTAAGGTCACCGTTATAGGTGAGGGTTAGGGTAGAGAGTGTTGTGCTAAGAGCTTAGACCTGTGGTCACAGTGAATGTGTGTGTGTGTGTGTGTGTGTGTGTGTGTGTGTATGTGTGTGTGTGTATGCAGTGGGGGGGGTAGGATAGAGTGTGGGGTTTTTTTTTTTGTGTGTGTGTGTGTATGTGTGCGCACAGTGTGGGGGTTTAGGATAGAGCGTGTTGTGTGAGTGTGTGTACTGTGTGTATGTTAAGTATGTGTGTGATATGGGTGTGTGGTGTGGGTGTAATATATATGTGCAGTGTGTGTGGTATGTACATATATGTGTGCGTGGTTTGCGTATGTGTGGTATGTGTGACATGTATGTGTCCTATGTATATGGCATGTGTGTATAGTGTATATGTGGTGTACGGTTTATGTCTGTGTATGATATACGTGTGTGGTATGTGTAGAATTTGATGTGTGTCTAGCATTTGATGTGTGTATGTATGTGCTGTATGTATCTATGTGAGTGATGTATGTCTTTCTTCATGTGTGTTGCAGTCATAGAGGCCAAACTGGCAATACTGTCACATTGAGATCCACATATTAGATACATAGTAAACATTTGTTGAATTAAAGCTATGCATAAAATTTACATTTATTCAGGGCAAAGAGGCACCAGCCTATAATCCCCACACTCAGAAAGATGAGGCAGGAGGATTGCCTCAGGTTCAAGGCTACATAGCGAGTATGAAATAGGCCTATGTATCAAGACCCTGATTCAAGAAGAATTTATGTTTCTAAGGTCTAGGAACATCTAAAATGACCAGTAATGTTTCAGTTGAACTAATCTGCCATTATCAATTTCAAGTTAAATAAATTGGGTTTGGGGTTTATGGTAGCAAACTCAGATATCCAGAATTCTCTGGAATTAGCCAAGCAACCAATCCCAGTCTCCAACAGCACCTCTGATGCAGATTTCCAAGAAATGAGCCTGGTGTGTATTAACCTTCCTTGCTAAAATTCTTCACTGCAGGGGGTGTCAGGTCAGTGACACAGTTACCGGGGGCAACATGGAGGTTCAGCACCAGAGCAGCAGAGGGGTCTGCTCCTCATGGGTTGGTATGAAGGAAGAAAGCCCACCTTCCCCTTGGTTACAATAACTGGGAAGAATTCTTGCAGGTATCACAGAGGACTCCCCATAAGGAATATGTCAGAGAAGGTTATTTGAAAAGGTTTGCTCTTATTTTCTTTCATGTGTAGCAGTCATGAGCAACAGCAGCCCTAACCCTGTGCTGCAAACTTAGAAAGTTGAGCCCCTTCCCAGGTGTTTTCCAAGACCTCCCCCAAGTCAGATTCTTAAATGAAGCTGACCTGTATGGATGAATGCCCATAAAACTCTCCAGTCACCAAGGAACTTAAAGGTGGTAGACATGAAGAGCACCGGACAGTAGGACTCTCCATTTCCCCATTTTGATGCCCTGTCACTACACCTGTGAGTGCACCTTTGGGCTATAAGCAGGGTCCAAAGCTGACATTACAAATTCCAATCATATATTTAAGGTCAGGATCCTGTTGGTCCCTCAGTGTGGCCCTGGTCATAGTTTGGTTTCTTTCTCCTACTGCCTTGTTTGTAAGAGCAGATAGTCACACGGTACAGAAACACGTGGACTGGAGCAGGTGTAGCCCAAATATTTATTCTAAAGAGCAGCTCCCATGTAGCCACCACAAGTAGCAACATAAAACTTTGCTTCCCCCCCAAGCCCCCTCCACCCCCTGCTGGATAACCACCAGCCACACGGGTTGTTGAGGCAACTGCTTCTGGTTTTTTCTATGTATTTTATCACCTAAGCACGTATCCTTAACCATTGCCTTTCAGTCTGCCTAATGTTAAACCATTATATAAATGGACTCACACAGAGTATTTTCATCTGTGCCTGGCTTCCTTCACACAGCAGGCGGTTACAGTCCCTGCCTTTGGGTGTAATTCATTCATTTGCATTTTCCCTACCACATTCCATCACATTTACGGAATGTCAGTTTAGTTTTTTCATCCTGCAGTTGATAGACATTTTGAGCTATCTATAGCTTGGGGCTATCATAGGTAGCTGAGCCATAGATATTTCTTTGTATGATTCTTGACACCCAAGCCACAGGTCCACACACTCCTGTCAGGCATAAATCTGAGTGTGAACTATCTGGGTCATAGCATATGCATATCTTAAAGCTTAATAGATAACAAGGCTTTCCCGCAGAGTCTATATCCATGGAGCTTCCCACCGGCCCTGTGGCAGGTGAGTTCTTACTGTTCCAAATGCTCACCAACATTTTTACAGCTACTGTATCCTGGTTTTGGTGACTTTTTGTGTATCTGTCATTTGAGTACCCTTTTTCTGTCAACACAAGTCCCTAGTTCACCATTTCACTGGATTAGTTTTCATACTCCTCAGAGGAGTTGTAAATACAAACACTGCGGTACATGCCTGTAGTCCCAGCTACTCCAAAGGCTGAGGTGGAGCATCTTTTGAAGCCAGGAGTTCAAGACCAGCCTGGGAAACATAGAACCTGACTCAAACCACAACCATGTGACCACGTGTCCTCCCTCACTCTCTGCACAAGGTCTTTTGTGAAAGACCTTTCTAACTTCACTGCAATCGCATTTTGTCAATCTTTTCCTTTTGGGTTGCTGCTTTCACTGTTCATAAAGTCCCTTTCCTAAACTAAGCATTATGTTTTTTTCTCCCATTCACAATGCAGTCTGCCTGAAACTGATCTTTATATAGAGGTCAAGTTCTCAGCGCCTTTATTTATATTTTTTGCAAGGACAGCCACTGCTCAGTCACTTTGTTTTAAAGACAGGCCGTTTGTCACTAGGTTGCCTGTAGGATCCACCTCTCTACTTCCTCCGAAGTCCTGTATCTTTACTTTTTTAACACAAACATTATGACAGCAGTTTTGACCAACTGAGGACCTTAAAATCTTTCACCCCACTTGTTTTTTTCCTGGCTTACATATTATTAGCGCTGTTCTGTGTTTACTTAAGCTTGTGTGCAGATTACTGCTGCAGTGCAGGGTAAATATTCGCATCCCCGACACAGCTCTGCAAGTCCTCGTGCTTCGGACTTTCAGCTGGCTCTTCCCCCGGAGCCATTTTCCCATAGACTAAAAAAACACCTGCTACCTAGAATTTATCTCAGTGCGGTGTCTGGTGTGAAGAACTGTCCCAGCTTTTGTTTGCCTGGAAGCATTTTACCCCGCGTTTGTTCTTGAGGGTCCGTGCACTGAGCACTGAGCTCTAGGTTGGCTTCTTCCCTGTCCAGCCGTCTCCCGCCAGCATCACGGCTGCTGAGAACTGAGAACTCAGCCTGGCTCACCTGCTTCTGCCAGGGGTCCTGACCTAGTGCAACGACCATTTCCTGTGGTTTTCTTCAGTCCGTTCTGTACCGCAGCGCAGGTGTCTTTATTTCGCTTTCTTAACGTTCACGGAGCGCTTTCCCATACCACGTTCTGTTCTAGAAAGCTCTGTCTTTATTTGGACATTCTCTCTACCCTCACCCCCTCACCCCAACTCTTGTCTCTCCTTCTGCTTCATTCTGTGCATTTTACCGATTTCAACAATTCTTTTCTCAATTTCCCCAGTTATGGAAAATCTACGGCCAGTGTCCCCCATAAAGTCACGGTTTTCCTGCTGCCCTTCCCAGTCGGCAGTAACCTCTCAGGTCCTCCTCTGCGGCCTTAGTTTCTTGTTCGCACGCCCTCAGCACGAGGGGTTGCTGGACTTGTAAAGTGCGCCCTTGTGGCAGATTCATCTCATTGGTGGTGACCAGATCGCTTGGGGAAAGTGGACTATCCATAACCAGCTATGATTTATTTCCTGTATTGCAGATACATGGGCTCCTGCTTCACTTAATAGGTCCTAATTCCTTCTGTTATACTGAAGCTCAGATTGATCCAGGTTTGACAAGTGTGACCCCCTCCTCCAGCCTCGCTTTTTTCTTAATACATTCCAACATTTTTCTAGCACTTTAGTGGTCTTAACTTTTATGTCAAAACTCTGAATTTGAGCCCCAGCGGGTTCCAGAGTATTAGAGTCCACAATGGCGGGCTGGCACCGCAGCAGTAGCAGAAAGCAGCTGGTCACATCTTCATTCACACACAGGAAGCCGGGAGTTCATATGCTTGTTTGTTTGTTTGCTTGTTTGTTTGTTTTGCCTTTAAACCAGTACCTAGCCTCTTGTCAATGGTCCAGCCAAGGCTGCTAGGGCTGAGAGGTTGACACGCTCTCTATGGAACCCTTGGCTGGCTGATGGTCTCTGGGGCTATGCATGGCTCAGGGACCTTGGCCTCCCTCGGCCACCAGGCTCTCACTAGAGCCACTAACAGCAGCTAAGCATCAACTCACCTGGGCTGTTGCTTGTTGGCCCCTTGTTCCTGATCTCCCTTGGGAACTTAATTTCCTTTCACTCACCAATGATTCTCAGCACACACACATTTAAAGATAGATTTAGAATACTGTTTGGAGTGAAATAAAAGACCATATCCATTTT